TCACCTTAATTTTCAGTTTTGATTTATTAGTTGTAGTTATTTAGTTTTAGTAATTTTGTTGTGCTTTTGTCATTTTTATGAGATTGAATTTTTTTTACAATATGTCTTTAGTTACCGTTTTAGTAATTTTGTTGTGCTTTTGTCATTTGTAACATATATAGATTTTTAAAATATGTCTATATAGTTTTTATTATTATTATTATTTTTAGTTAATTTATTTTTAGTTTTTTATTTCCAGTTTTCACTTTAATTTGAAAGTTTCAGTAATTTTGTTGTGTGTTTTTGTAATTTTTTATTAGTTTTTATTAAAGATATCTATATAGATTTATTAATTGTTATTTATTATTTTTATATTTTCTGTTTTTACTTTCATTTTAGTTAGTTTTAAATATGTATGTATAGTTTTTAATTATTTTTACAGTCTATTTAGTTTTAGTTATTTTAGTATTTCAAGTAAACAAAAATTTGAAAAAAAAATTTTTCTCCAAGTAACATCGTTTCAGTATTAGAGAACATAATAAATCTGATTTGTACATACATCATAGTATACAAACAAAGCTAAAACTGCATAAAACCATTAAATATATAGTATATTTAATAAATATTTAATTTAATTTAATACAATATATTAACTTTCATTTTTAATTGAATATATATATAAATTCAAACCCATATTTTAGAACTGAACTGAAGTAAATATTTAACTTCTTCATGATCTTGATGAATGTGATGATATGTGTTTTCTGTGAAAACCCAGCTAAAGTAATTTTTTGGTGATTTGCTGTTTTCTATATAAAATCATCATTCATAAGGTAAAGAACATTCTGTGAAAATGTAACATTGATGCCTTTATTACTGACTGAGTAAGACCATGTCAAAGATTGAAATCATAGTGAAATGAATGGTCGAAATCAAACTTTGATGCTTGTTATCTCATAATTAGATTTTGAGACTTTAGCCTGGATTTCACAGACAGGGTCACATTTGTTGAAGCTGACTGGCTCGTCAGTATCTGCTCTGGCGTGTGGTTGTGAATTTCTCTCTCTATAGCGGAGCTGAACTGTGTTTGGGCTTGTTGTGTGCAGCTGGAACGCACTTTGAAGTGCTTCACATGATTATTAACTCTCAAGCCTGCCAGGTCATTCAAGAAAAGACAATATCCATCATTACAACAATTGTATGCTTCTTCAGCCCTGCATCTCCATGTGAAGAAGACGAACATCTGGTCAAGCCTGACAGAGCTCTGACCCCGAGGAGCCACAAACACTTACACAAGTTCACAAACACAGCCAACAAATGACAGGCGTGTGTTCTGTTCTACATACTTACATGTGTTCTTGTGTTTCTGTGGCACAAACAAACCTCAGTCCTCAAGAGGGCGATAGAGTTTCCTTCAGATGATATTAAACCAGATGAACATCTTTCACTAAAATATTAGTTGCATGCCTTTGTTTTTAGCCATGTTTTTTTATGCTTAAAGTAAAGCAGCTTTCATTAGTTCATTAGTTTCTTTAGTCTACTTATATGGTGTTTTTAGTAGCTTGTGATAAAAATCACCATTAATTGCATAAAAAAAGATCTATATTCTGATGCTCTGTCAAACATCTAATTTTGTGTTTCATTGAAGAAAGAAAATAATATGTGGCTGAAATTACTTGATAAATAATTGAAATATATATATATATAAATAGATATATACATACATAAATAAACACATTGTTTTCTGCTAGCTGACAAGACAACGTCTCATTTTCTTGATGTATTAAAATATCAAAAACTAAAGCTGAAATAAATTACTACTGACTATATATACATTTAAAAAACAACAAAAATAATAAAAAAAAATAAATAAATTTGAATTTAAAAAATGAACACACAATGAAACACAAAATGTATAAAAACTTAAACTAAAAGTGAAAGATAAAATATCAAATTAAAAACGAATTCAACACATTAATACAACTACAATGAATAAATAAATAAATAATAAAAAAAACTAATGAAAATGTATTAAATCATTAGTTTAAAAACAATTAAAAATGAATAAAACTTTATAATTAAAGTGAAAAAATAAATAAATAAATAAATAAAATATATATATATAACAAATTCAATATATTAATATAAACGGTTACACTTTATTTTAAGGTCCAATTCTCACTATTAACTACAACTGCCTCAGAAAACTCCTAATTTGCTGCTTATTAATAGTAAGTTAGTTGTTAATTTAGGTATGGGGTATAGGATTACGGGATCGAAAATAATGTCATTCAGAATAAGGCATTAATATGTGCTTTATACGTACTAATAAACAGCCAATATGCTAGTAATATGCATGCTAGTTAATAGTGATAATAAAGTGTTACCACAGAAACTATAATAGTAGGCCTTTTTCAGTTATCCTATAATAACACAGAGTTGCTTTAATTGAATTAGCTTCATAATTGATGAATTTTGCAGCATTAAAGCTGTTATTTTCCTGTATATTACTGTGAAGCTAATTTGAAACAACATGTATTGTAAAAAG